CCGCGAGCTGCGACCTCGCGCGGCTGCGCCCGGCCTCATCTAATACCGCGCAAGAGAGCGAGCCGCCCCGGGGATCCTCTTTGCTCTGCCCTGGCCGCTCCCAGTCCCATGCCACCTCCGCACACTGCGTGGCCGCTCCAAGTCTCCAGACGCCCCAGGAGCTCCAAGGACCACGCGCGAGGAGGCGCCGTACCAAGTGGGCACGCCACCAAACACCATCCGACTGGAGAACCCAGTGCACACAGCCTCCCACAGGCGGGACTGCCAGTCCGCCACAAGAATCCTGCCCTTTTTCTAGAAAAACCCTCCCTCCCCCCACTTTTCCCCCCGAAGCACTCACCTGCGTCTCGGCGCAGTTCTCCTCGCGCTTCACGCGACCGTACCCGGGCACGTCCAGGCCTGAGCACGCTGCCTGGCGCGACTGGCCCCGCTCGGCTCCCGCCGCCCCCAACCAGCTTGTGCCCACAGGAGGGGCGGTGCCACCTCCCGAGGCGCCCAATTCCCTCTACTCCCGCCGCAAGGGGCCGAGCTCTGGGAACTTCGCGTGCACAACCTCCGCCACCCCCGCCGGCGTTCCCGCCCGAGGCCGGACTAGGGCTCCTACCGAGCGGACTCCTCCGCTCGGCGCCGCGGCGCCGCGCACAGCCCTTAGCCTCGGCGTCCAAAACAGACCCGAGGCCAGGCGCCGCGTGCCCGCCCTCCCCGCCCCCACTCCCACACCCCCCGCACTTGCCTGCTACGGCTCGGAGCTGCAGCTACTACGGCTCGCGCCGCCAGCCGTCAGCACAGCCGCGGAGGAGTCGCTCCGGGCAGGCTCCGCGGAGAGGCGGCGGCGGCGTCCCCAGTCCTGGCGGAGGCGGGAAGGCGGACTGGAACCCGGCGAAACCCCCGCCCTACCCGCGTCGCGCCGGCGACCGGCCTCCTCACCCGGCCGGCAGCTGCCTCAGTGACGCCCAGGCGCCGCGGTCCCGCCGTTTGTAGCGGGGCGGGGAGGAGGGGCTTGCTTGGAAGAGCGCCAGGAGGCGGGGCCGGCGGCGAGTTAGCGGCGTCGCGACTGCTGCCGCCGGCGCGTGCCCTGCCCGGCCGCCCGCGGGTCGGTGCCTGCGAGAGGACGTCCGGCTGCGGCCGCTCGGCTCGGTCCCTCCCGTCTTCCGATTCCGAGCAAGCTCTGGGACCAGGATACCCTGGCAGCGCGGAGAGCGTCGCGCGCCCAGAGGCGGTAGATTCCAGGTGCAAGTTTGCAAACCCCGAGGTTCCGGGCGCTAACGGGGAGCCAGAGCGACTCGCGCGGGGGTCACTTTGATGTATATGTGTATCAAATATATACACATACGTACATACACATATATTGCAAGCAGTTAAAAGGCTCTTTTCCCCCCTACTTCACAGCCGAAGGGTCCTGTCCCTTGGCGGAAAACTAAAGGCTTAGCCCTGGCTGCCCCTCTCTGCCTCTCTCGATGGAATCTGACGTTCAAATAAGCCCGAGTACCTGTGCGGGGTGCTATACTCTGCTTCAAACGCAAAGTAGGAAATCCTGCACTCGGCTATACAAGAGCCTGCCGCTCGCCGCATCCCTCCAACGCCCCCCACGTCAGCCCCGAAATGGCCAACTCTTCACCGAGGGGGGCGTCACATCGCTGCTTAGCCTTGGCCCGCCCCCACGCCCATCTCAATCGCCTTTCCCCAGAAAAACCTGTGCCTGTCCTCAGACTCAGCCCCGCGACTGGGAGTCAAAACCGACCCCGAGCCACGCGGTGGGAGCACGTTTTTACACCTGCTCAGCCGCTTAATTACGAGAGCACCTGTCGTGTTGTTGTGGTTGTTTTCATTGCAAAGGCTTCTGTTTTAACCCTTCCCCCCTTAAAAACTGCACTTAAAATATCACCTGTCATACCTACCTGAAATCGCAGGAGGTAAGAGAAAGGAACTGAGCAGTGGGCGACTGAGTCGCCGCAAAAACGTGACCGAGGTTACAGCTTCAAGGGCATGATGCGGGTTTGATGCAGCAAGGTCCGCTAAGGGCGCCCAGCGCTCCCCGCCCCCACGCGACGGGCGGGGCGGGGTTGGGGGGGGAGAATGGAGGAAGGACTCCTTTAACCCAGGGCGGGGGTGGAAGAGGCAAAATTGCCCTCTTGGGCGAAGTCAAATCAGGCGTAGTAAAGTAAGGGGTTTAACCATAATCGAAATGGAGACAATCCACCCCTCAATTTGGGGGACCCAGACTGGGGACACCAGAAATAGCTAATTGATTCTATACCAGCATTTCTGTTGTCACCCCAAATCCGATTAGCAATTAAATGACCTTAATTGACTTTGTACGGGGTTACTGGGAAAACTGCTCAAAGCGCCTGCGCCTCTCTGAACTCCCTCTAAACAGTTAATTATAATATTCCCATCCCAGGCAGGCGGGATTGCTAAAAATGCCTGTTTCCAAACGTTAGGCAAAAATGGGCCTACCACATTTGCCAATCCAAGCCTAAAACTCCTAGAATGCCCTACGCCCTACTTCCTGAAGCTGACTTCTTCAAGTTACGGAAGACCTCTCTACAGAGTTCCCCAAGTCTTCCAATCCACTTCGACCTGCAAACGTTGTAGTTTTTCTTGGAGAACGCCAGAACAGGTTAAAATGGGGTGCCTAAGCACTTGGTTAAAAGAGGGAAGAAGAACCCAGGAGTGATTGGTGTAAGACAGACTCAGGGAATGACAATAATAACTGAGAGATAGTTACTTTTTTAAATCCTCCAAAAAGTGACTTTTAAACAATCAACATTTTCTGGGTTTGCAGACTTATTTGTTCAGATTCTGACAAACCTTTCAGATGTCCCATTTAAGAAGCCATTTTATGAAGAAAGTCTTACAGGCCCAAACAGCTTTTCTACTCTACCACCCCTAAAACATGCACTTTTTTCTTGACCTTCAGGAACTTATTTCCAATTAGGAAAATAATTTATTCGGTTACTATTGTCTGCTCTGTACTCTACCCTCCCCCCCACTTTAAGCTTGCATTTTATAGGTTGCAGTGTAGGCCTAAGAAATAAACCATCTCTATCTCCCTCCTATTCCCAACATCCAGAGGATGGGTATTTACATATATACATATATATATATATATATATATATATATATATATAAATAGATATGTGGGGAAGGGCTAAAGGTTTAAAATCTTAACCAATAAACACTCAACAACAGTGTTTGTGAGTAGGGGCGGGGAAAGAACCCGTGCATTTCCGGGAGAAAGTAAGACATTCATCCCATCCCAGCAGTGTTAAAAGTAAATACTAAATGGTTGACTATTCCTCTCACTCTGGCCACAATAAAGCCAGATCTGCAGCTGGCAATTACAAGAGAAAATACCCAGTCTCGACATCAGTTTCGCTAACCCGTACTTGAAAATGGCAAACGGGGAACGTATCCAACCTCCAATTTGCCACAGTTGTATAGCTCTCATATTAATTCTTTACAGACGTGAAATAGGTGGGTACGTAGCAACGTGCTGGGCATAAATTAAGCAACAATGGCCACGCGAGGTCCTATTCGCCGCGGAGCTCCCGTGCAGGGCACTGCCACCTTGCTTTCCCCAGACCCCACCGCCCCGGAGATGGCAGAGTCGTGTCTGGAGGCTGGCCGCAAGTTGGCTTTTAGACCCGGGAGGGTGGGTGGGGTGGAGAGCAGGGTGAAATTAACAACCCCCGGCCGGTTTTGTACCTTTTCCCCATTCTCTCCATGTCAAGCACCACACCGGCGCTCTCACGCACACTCACCCACACCCCCTCGTGCCAATAATTTAAACTTCCCTTAGGCAAAGGCAGCACCTCGTTCACCGCCACCACCACCCTCTCGATCCTCCCCGCCCAGCGAACATCCTTCCCCCTTTCCCACATCTATCCTGATTTCTCTTTTTCCGCAGCAGAAAGCCAGCTGGTTTCTCCCAAACCCTGAGAAATCACAAAAGTTAAAATGAAGCATGTGTCTGCCCAGCGTCTCACCCCCAACCATCTTTCTCCCGGCGTCAGTTTAACAATAGCTATTCGGGGGGGGGGCAGTAAAAAAGGGGGTGAGGGCAACGTAGCGGAGTTGGCTCCTTAGGGTGGCTGTGAATCCTCACGGCTGCGAAGGGGTTCCCCCTCGCCCCTAAGGCGAAGTCAGCCGCGTAGGACCAAGGACAGGGCTTGCAATCCACTTCCCAGAGCCCAGCACAGCAAGGCTCCCAGGCAGCCGCCACTCCACAGACACAGCTCCAAGGATCTTATTTACGCTTTTCTGAACAAAGGGAATCTCATATCCGGTACAGGCTTAAGAATTCGGCCCTAAATTGGCTACCTTCTTTTAAAAAAGAATCACGGTAATTGGCGCCCATGAATTAGAGCCCGCACACCTAGCAATGATGAGTTTTGACAGCTTCTACCCACCCTAGCCCCAGCCCAGCCCTAGCCCTCAGGCGGCATGTACTTTTTCAGTCAACTACAACTAGCAGCCTGGTGCAGCATCTAAATTCCATCTGGCAATCCCATCTCCCCAGCACACGTTATCTGGTTAATGCAATTAAGTGTGGGGTTTTCGCTGGTCTAATCTCCAAGTCCAGGCTTCTGATTCCCCTCAATGGTATTAAAGCCTCTCCAGTCCTTTGGTTACTGTGCGAAAGTAGAGGCATGCGTCCCCCAAAACCCAAGTTATCCCTCTCTTCCCACGAAATGAACTTCCAACCTCAATCCCGTAGCTCACTCAACACCTAGACTCTCATTGTACCCCCGCTCTACTCTAGCCACATTTACCACTTAAGTTTCTGCCATTGACATTTGCGAAAATTCAGTACGTCAAGCATGCGTCCACTGTCTTTTAGTCTAGCTCTCTAGAATTAAAAAGCAGAGCAGTAGCTTTGAAATGAGACAAACATGTGCAATTAACTTCATATTCTGTATTCCGCTCACTTACAGGTTTTCTGGGTTTGCCAGCGCATCGCTGCAACTAATGATTAAAGAAACCAAACCGAAACTTACCTTTCTCCCTTAAGGTTTTTGTGTATGTGTGTTTTTAAAGTAACGGTGCAGTTCTCCCAATAAGGATGAGCAAGAAGCTGCTGGATAGTTCTCTTAAGACAACACGAAACCTAAACTGTGCTCGGCTTAAAAGAAGCAAATAAAAAGAAATGTTTTCGACCCCAAAGTCCAACGCTAAAGGAAATGGCGAAAAAAAAAATATGAAAGGGGAGGGGGAACTTAAAAAAGAGAGTTTAAAAAGACGGAGAGACTACCCTCCTATTGCCGTTCAACTAAACAAAAAGGGGCAAGAAAAACAAACGAAGGAACAAAGAAAAGAGACGAAAGAACGTTTTTTCAAAAAGACGATGTCTTTCTCCTTGTTGCTTTTTAGTAGGTCGCTACAGGAGTAAGCTGCTGCATCTCTAACTGAGAACAGAAATAAGGGGGGAGGACGTCTTAAAAGGGAGGTGGACTGGACCACAGATTTATAGCACCGTATCACCAACCCCTTCTCTGCCTCCGCACTGCCGTGTGTGCAGCTGCTCTGCCAGGCTCCTATCCCGGGCAGCACGCGCGGAAGTATACGCCGAGTGGCGCCACAACGTAACTTGCTCATCTCCCCAGGACCCTGATTGGTCTAGATGCTTCCATTGAGGCCGCCCGGGCGAGCACGCTTGATACGATTGGCTAGAAGCTTGTGTCACTCTCAAGAGCTCAATGGAGTCCCGTTTCAAGGTAAGTTGTGCGGGGAGGTACACACTTAACACAGGCGGCGAAGGGAAATGCAAGAAGCAAAAAGATGGAAAGAGCAACGTGGGAGGGCTGGAACTGTAGTATCAGAGTTTGCGATATGGCATGATCTTCTTTCCTTTTAAATCTTTCTGCTTCCGAAAGATTCATTTTCCTTGCCATCACTGCCGCATCTAAGGCACGTTTCTTTATAACATTAAACTCTGTCCGGTATGTATGAGTCATTGAGAGCTCCCTCTCTTTGATCTGAGTGAAAGGGATGAATGTACATCCATTACTTGCCCGCATGCCTTTTTCGGTTTGTGTTCCAGTATTCTGTATTAGATATTAAGCAATTTTGTGTCTTTCTCTATTTTAATATATGCATATTGCAGCTTTCTTGTTTATTTTTTAAAGCATCCTTTTAGGATAAGAATGAATTCAGAAATGCTTTCAAATAAAGCTGCACGGTTTGAATTAGCTTTCATTTCATATTAGAAAAGTGTAGGATAAACATCCTGTCAGGAAAAGAGGTACTGCACAGAGCTAAGGTCCTTCACTTTGAGATATATGGAGACTCAAAAAGAGCATCTGTATATAAAATTAGAACAAGCCACTCCTCTGCATTTGCTGGCGGTACAGTTCTTGGACAACACATGTATTGCTGACAGTAAAGATTAGTCGAACCTTTATCTGGGTTCTTTGAGGATTTAGAAAGTTTAACCAGAAGACCAAGTGCTGTCAATGCTTCTGCTTTGTAGATGAAGACTACTTTATTAAATACCATATTTTAATAACATTCAAGAGACTGAAGTATAGTTTTGTGCATGGTATTTATTTCTTCCTCCAAGTGAAAGCGGGGTCCTCAGGATCGACTTGATGTATAAATAGAGACAACATCAGCTTGACCTAGGTTCTTTTTCAGCCTGAATTTCTTCTTTTAATCTTGACAGTGTCAACTTCCTAGATAGTACTTAATGTTTCTGACACAATGTAACATATCTTCTCTAGATGCTCATGCCTTTCTAAAAGGAATTCCTTTACCTGTTTACTACTAGTGGCTATCTTTGAAATTCAGAAAAAGGAGGCACAGGTTAAGAGTTAGAGATTGCAGGAGGTCAGAATTGGATGGAAGGAAAGGGACAGATAGTCACAAAGCAAAGTGACTACAAAGTGAAGGGTGAAGTAATTCAGAGTTCCCTGAGTGTGGGTAATGATTGACAAAGAACAGAAGACCTGTTTATCTCCCCGTATAGCCCATATAATATGTTCAAGTTCTATTACTTTGCATGACGATAACAGGGGGTTGGAAAAGGAGGCCTGAATCTATATGTTAGCTTATAATTAGCATTGTTATCTTATAATTTATAATTACCATGTCCTAATCCCCTGCCACACTTTTTATATAACAACAAGACTGGGGTCCTAATTTCAACTTAAAGCTATTCTCTAGACCAGGGTGGAACTCATGGGAAGAAAGAAAAGCAGTTTGAGGAAATGGAGTGAAGGGGCTGAGGGAAGGACAAGTCAAGGGAAAAGACAGAAAGACTCCACTTCACCTAAAATAGATTAAACACTGTATGAATAAACAGTTGGAAGATTGTGTTTGTTATCATCTTCCTTCAACCCCTCCCCTCACCCCCTGGTCAGTACAGAGAAATAACTCTTAAAGTAATAAATACAACTAAATAAAATATACTACCGTTTATGCAGACTTATTTATGAAGTGAATTGTCTTTTCTCCTTGTTAACATGCTCGTAATATTGAATTAGTTGCATGTATTCATGTAATATTCTCAGCACTCTGTAGAAAATCTTTACCATTAACTTACAATTATATAAGTATCTTCTAACTGGATGGAAAATAATACTTTGTTTTATTTTTTGATGTGTGTTTGTTTCCACAAGAATTTGCAGATTATGGTGGTATATTTTCCAAAAGGGGGAGGGTGGATAAGGAAAGCTGGGTGTGGTGTGGAGTGATGAAAATCTAGCTTGTGTGTTATGTAGTTAAAGAAATTACTTGGAAAATAGTCAACTTGTCCATTCAAATGCAAAATGCTAAATTCTGTGGATTGGGTATATATGCTTTCTTTAGTTTGGGCAGAGGAGCAAATGTTTTTCAAAATGTTGTCATCTTCAACATGTTGTTTTTTCTATATAGGTAAAATGGAGTTAAATTATTTAAGGTATTGAAAATATCTTAAAATACTAGTTCCTTTCCTCAATAAAACAGAGGTTTCTAAATTTAAAAACATTTAAATGGGTACATATACCTTAGGTAACATATATTTTTCCAACTTTTCAAAATAAAAACTGAATACAGCCTATTTAAAATAAGTGATATCTGGATGTAGATTTCACTTTGAAATTCATGTTGTCATAGCCTGAAATACTAACATATTCTATCTTGCAATTAATAAAGACTATATGTAAACATCACACTCCACATTAAGGAACTATAATCAACCCCTCTTCATCCATAGTTAGGTTAAGAATTATCTACAGCATTTGAACTTGCATTAGAAAAGCATTTAAAAGACATTTGAGTTATGACTGTCATCTTAGCTCTGATATATTTTCAAAGTCCTTAGCATTATTTTGAACTGCAGCAGCGAATCGATAGATTTGGGGGGTCACTCACTGAAAGTTTGGAGAAAAAGTTTGATGTGGAGAAAGTTGCTAAAAGAATAGTTCTCAAAGCTGAAAAATAATGAATTCAATAGATTATTTTGCTAAAGTCTATAAAGGAACAACACTCATTCACAGGAATACTCATAAGCAATTGTGGGCAATATCTTTTAGGATAAATAACTCCCTTACACTAGTTGAGGGGAGTATGATTTTAGCATTTTATGATATAGGATGCTATAAACTACTATTGTGACTTTTTTTTTTAAAGTAAATAAAGTAGTTAAGCTATTTAGGTGAGTTTACAATGTGTGGCTTAGGGCAATAGTTCCAAACATGATACCCTCTCAGAAGAATAAAAATATTCTGTGTTAGTTTGTTGGGCAGTTTGGGGTGGGGGTGGAGTCTGTCGTTCAAAATGTTGGAAATGTGACAGTTTAATGCCTACATGAGAAATATAGATATTATATAGCTTGATGATTACTCTTTTATTTGTTCTACCTAAAGGAGCATGTCAACTTTCCTTCTACAGTTTAGAAAACAGAAAAAAAGTTGTCGAGAAAATTGATACCAAGGTTAAGTTTAGAGCGAGGCAACCGGGCAAGAGAGAGAGGCAGGAATTAGCACCATGGACAGAGACGAGCCGATAAAGGCTTGCAAAGCTTGACAGTTTTTTTCTGTCCCTCCCAAGTAAGACACGGAAACTGCAATTCTTCGGAACGTTTCATTCCACAGACTTTAAGAAAAAGGCTGTCCTACTTCACAGAAACACGTTTGTTTTGAATTAGGCTGGCTTTTGCTAGGACTCGGCCTTGGTGACAAACCGTCAGGAGGGTTAGGGCCCCAAACTCTGGGCGCACCCTTCACTGAGCTTCTCTTTTCACACACTCCCTTGCCCTGGTGAGCCTGCCTTTCATCAAAGTGTTCATGCAAAATAAATGCAAATCCAGGTAGTATCGGAAAGTCTGCTAAACCTACTCCAGAATTCTTAATCCTCAAAATTCCCAGCGGGAATCGCAACAAAAAAAAAAAACGCTTACCCGGTCCCCCTCGCTTCCCCCAACCCCAGTTCCTCCCCGGCTCCATCCACCTCTGGCAAAGAGGCAGTCTTTTATCCGAAGATAAGTTACCTCCTAGACTATTTTGCAAAGGACCCTTTATATTGCAAACACTTTCCATCAGGGACAGTGCCAGAAGCGGCAGTGAGCAGGATCACAAACATCCTTCGCTTTCTCTTTACATTTTGTCTTTAAACTCCGGTTTGAGAGAAAAAGAACTGTAAAGAGAGTAGACTAGGGGAGAATTCCCCTAAAACCTTAGGTTGCTGCTCACACTTATTAAAGCCATGTGAATTGTTTAAGTGTTTAACATTTTTTGAATGTAATCTAGTGTCGCGGTAAATCTTTTGAGACCAGCTTAGAATGTTCTTCCCCCTACCCCCACCCCCCCCCCCCCGGGCAAAATTTGTATGAAGTTCATTCTCCTTTAAGTGATTTGACTGCAGATATTCAGATTCAGACTAAGATCTGTTGCACGTGCCCCAGAGTGTCTCGGAAAATATATTTGCAGCTTCGGATCGATGATCATTTATGTAAAGCTTCCCACAAATGTCCTCAGATTTCTTTTCCTCCCCTCTTTTACACAGTAGCAACTTTTAGCAGGATAAACTAATGTCTTTGCTGAGCATGCAAAGGGAGGTCTAGGTGACCAGGCAAGGGTGAGGTAAGAAAAACTGGAGGTGAGAAAAGGCAAATCAGAGCTTTGTGTCCGTTTCTTTCAGGGATGCTAACAGCTTTCTCTAAGCTTCCTCCTGGAGCCGATACATCTCATGCAAAATTAATACAAGTAATTAAAAATAGCAGTTTCCAAAGTTAAAGGAAACCATCTGTCTCAGCTGGTGGCAATCAGTCTTTTGGCCGGCCCCTTTACCGGGACCTGGGAAGAAACGGTTTTCCTGCTTCCGATGCTCGGAGGCTCTTCCTTATATTGAAGATTTATGTTTCCACTTGTGTGCGATGCACGTCTAATTTGAAATAATAAAGCCGGGCTCAGCGACCAGTCAATCAGAGCTATCAACTGCTCACGGTAGGCAGCCCTGCCCCCACCTCCCACCGGTCTCTAACCCTCTTTCCCTCCCTTACTTCCTCCCCTCCTACCCTGCCCCTCCTTTTTCCTCCCTCCTCTGCTCTCTCACACACTCGCACTTTCCCCCCACGT